GTCTGGGCTCTTGTCTAAGAAAGAGTAATTAAACTCTGTCTCTTTGTTAATATATAAATATATTAATCATCCATCCCAGGCTCCCTCCCGAGTATATATAATACTCGTTGCTTAGGAGGCCGCAACGACTTCTGTCGTAGAGTGTCCCTTCGGACCACCTGACGGCTGGTTAGACCGAGGTGTCTGTTCGATTAGGGTAGGGACCCTGAAAGAGTGTCAATCCTTAATGGATCCTAAGAAGGTTGAGATTATTCGAAATTGGCCATTGCCAAAGGACATCTCTGAACTTCGATCCTTCGTTGGCCTTGTGAACTATTTCCGGCGATTTATCACAGGTTATGTCCTATAGCCTTCATGGCTTGCTGTACGGTTGCGTTCGGGGTGCCGGATAGGACAGGGCGAGGCGAAACCGGGGCTGCCAAGGGCCTTACACTACTGCAGAGTACTAATTGCTGCTCTCGGAGCGCCAGGGTGCGTGTGCGCCGAAGCACGGTCTAGCGCCACACGGCGCGGTCTGAGTGCACGCAGCGCTGTCCAGCGCGGCCACACCGGCACGGCCGAAAGAACTGACGCACAGCACTAGACAACTAAACGCAGCCTTAATGACTGCGTCCACTGGTCACCCGCCCCGAGGGCAAACCTGAAGCATCAGTGATGCACGAACCACACCCTGGCCAGCAGGGCTGGCCAGGCGACATTCCTAGCGCGCAACGATACTCTATAGGCACTTATTTGCCGTGCGGTAATCGCTGTACAGCTGTGCGTCTGGCGCTCCGAGGGGACTGCCTAATCGCCAGTCTCCAACTGGGCCGAGCCTGCCGCTTATAAACGAGGGACACTGAGGGCGGGGGGGGGAAGTGAGAGCAACAATAATAAGCTCCAATAGTGTAGGCAGAATGCCGGAACTATGGAGCTGTCAGCTGAAATAGTAAATTCGAATTCTCAGCAAGCCATACGGCTGCCGTACATAACCTAGCTTAGAGGCTATACTCGCTTTGCTCCTGCCGCATCTAAGCTACAATTATGTCCTATAACCTTCATGGCTTGCTGTACGGTTGCGTTTGGGGTGCCGGATAGGACAGGGCGAGGCGAAACCGGGGCTGCCAAGGGCCTTACACTACTGCAGACAGAAAAGATAGCAGGAGGGGCCCTCTGACTCAGGCGAGGCCCAGGTTGCGCGTGGTTTCCAGTGCGGCATCGTCTTCCAGCCGGGTATATAGCTGCACCATTGCGTCCGTCTTCCAGCAACCGTGGGCCTTGCGGGCTTCTTCAGATACCCCTCTGGCTGCTGCCGCGCTGTTTCCCCCGATGCGCATGGAGTGTGGCATGATGCCGCGCTTGATGCCCACGGTGCTGCACATGGCAGCGAGCTTCTCCCGGAAGGAGGTATAGCTGAGGCTGGGGATCGGTGACTGAACAGAGCCGGTCCTCTGCTGCAGCTGGTGGCCTTGCTGTGTCGCCTTAACCCTGCGCAGCAGCGGACCCACATCCTCCACGGGGGAACTGGGGACACGGACATAGTTACCAAGCGCCAGCAGCCTCTCTGTCAAGCCCACTGGGCAGGCCACGCCCCCCACGCGCGTGATCCGGATGGTCTGCCCTTTGCCCTCCTGGTCCGTTTTGGACCTAGGCAGTGTGATGGCCATGTGAGTGTCCTGCAGGGTGAGCAGATCGGACTTGACGGAGATGTGGGCTAGGTCGTTGAACCTCAGGAAACCCGCGAACATAACCGATATGGCCGCTACCATCATCAGGTCTGGCAGTGAGGCATCCGGCCCAGCGAAGTGAGCGGCCAACATGCGGACATGCTCTGGTTGCATGCTTTCCCTGTGCAGCTTCTTCCCTTGCAGTGTGCGCCTGCCCAGGTCCAGTGTTTTTTTTTTAAGTAATATATTACTTTTAAGGAATAAAGAGGCCTTTTTGGCCTTTGGAAATAAGGAACAAAGTGAGGCCGATCCGTACATTTTCATTCCTTCAGCCAAAAACGTCCATTGCTGCCAGATTGCTCCGTAGTGTGCAGAACGTAGTATTATCGATCATAAAATAGATATGAGGGGCCGTAAGAAGGTCAAGCCCGTGAGTCAACGCGGCATAGCAGAATGTATGACCGGTCCTTCCATAGACAAACACGCAAAAGGCAACGACTTGAACGCCGAACAAACACAAAAACAGCAAGATAAGTCTGAAATTTTTCCTGATAAAGGCGTTTGGGACGGCGGTGCTGTTGTCGGTAATGCATCGGCAATGTTGCTGCCAGCGGCGACCGATGACACGGGCGCCATTACCCCTGCCTTCCATGGCGGTTGTGATCAGCATAAGCGCAAGCTGTCACCCAATCAGCTTGACAACAACGAATGCGGCGAGGCGCCCAACCCGAGCGCTCGCAGTGCCAAGCGGGCTCAGACACAGCGCATCCGCAAGGGCATGAGCGACGGTGCATGGCGGGACAAGCAGAAGGAAAATCCCCACAGATGGCCGGTACATGATGAACCGGTAGAGTCCTAGTGTGCTGTGGT